GATACAACCCTTTTTTAGACGAGCAGAACGTAATGCGTGTTAGTGGTCGCATAGACAATTCTATAGCTAATTATGATGCAAAACATCCCATAATTCTGCCTAAGGAATCTCCCATTGCTGCTCTACTTGTTCGATATCAACATGCTGCCTCGCTACACGCTGGAGTAGAATACACGTTTCACAGTCTACGACAACGATATTGGATTCTAGGAGCCCGAAAACTCGTCCGCAAAACCGTATTTAATTGCAGAACTTGCTTCATGGAGCGAAGACACACGAGTTCTCAACTTATGGCTGATTTTCCCAACTTCCAAGTTCAAATCGGCCGTTGTTTTCTTCACACTGGCTTGGATTATGCTGGACGTGTAACAAAATTTATATTCGGACAATGGTACTACGTACTTTCATGGGGCTAAACGAGAATTAGATGAGATGCAACGGATCGCAATTGCCCAAAGTCAAATAAAGAGATTTCAAGCTTCTTCTCGACTCATGAAATTAATTGGCATTTCATTCCGCCTTCTGCACCCCATTTTTAGGGATTTGGGAAACTGGAGTGCGATCTATAAAGCTGCACCTAAAGCGAGTTACTGGCAGCAGTGCATTAACATTCGAGGAATCTTCGACCCTTTTAATTCAGATAGAAGGGCTTCTGAATTCTCGTCCTTTGTGCGCACCCAGCGATCACAGCCTTAACCCGCTAACCCCTTCTCATTTTCTAACAGGTCAGCCTGTTACTTCGGTACCGGAGCCATCTTTCCTGGATGCACACATTGACAGACTGCAGCGCTGGAGACGTGCAGGCCAAGGTTCAAGGGTTCTGGAAACGCTGGAACTTAGAGTATCTCAGCACCCTTCAAACTCGCACGAAATGGCAACAAGATGCTCCAAATGTTGCATTGGACACCCTTGGGGTTTTAAAGGAGCCGAATCAGCCGCCAAGCAATTGGCTGTTGGGAAGAGTTATTGAGGTTTATCCTGGCCAGGATCAGAGGGTTCGTGTGGCCACAGTTAAAACTGCCAGAGGAATTTACAAGCGCCCCATTACAAAAATTGATGTGCTTCCTTTGAACTGAACCGTCGTTCAGGGGGGCCGGTATATTGAGGAATTAATCGGTCGTTAATTATTACTTCTTTAATTGTTATTATTTTGCATATTATCGTACCTAGTTTAATGAATATAATTGTCTTGTTTATAACATAAAGCTTTAAGCTCACACTCATAGCCAAAATGCAGTATATGTGCATGAGTATTGGGACATCACGCGATCTTTATTTTTCTTCAGCATGTTTCTATATTTTCGCCAGTTAGATCTAGTTAGAATTTACCCGCAACCGCTCGCTTATCGCACCCGCTTATAAAACTTATTCTAAAACGCTACATGAATTAATAAACATAAAACACCTGAGACAAAAACAATACAGTACACTGCATTTATAAACAGGCAGCTATATGATATAGTCGTCAGATCCGGCCCGTTCCGGAGAGACTAGCTTTCGTAGAAACGGACAGACGGACAGACGGACAGAAGGATAGACGGACAGACGGACATGACTAGATCGACTCGGCTGTTGATCCTGATCAAGAATATATATACTTTATATAGTCGGAGGTGCCTCCTTCACTGCGTTGCAAACTTCTGACTGAAATTATAATACCCTGCAAGGGTATAAAAATGTTTGAACTTTATAAATTTTCGAGAGAATTTGATCAAATTTAAGATATAGCCATTTCATTTTATTCTACAAGTTTGTGTTAAATTTCATGAAAATCATATATATATCATATAGCTCCCATAGAAACGCTCGAGAAATTTATGCAATTAAAAAGTATAACTTTTTTAGTTTTCAATAAATTTTCATCCAATTTGATATATAGCCGTTTTATATTATTCTACAATTTTGTGTTTAATAATAAGAAATGGAACTACTATATCATAAAGCTGCCATAGGAACGATCGATAATTAATACAATTAAAAATTATAAGTTTTCAACAGATTTTCATCAAATTTGCGATATAGCCGGTTTATATTATTCTGGAATCTCAATTTTAAAATGAAAATCGGATGACTATATCATATAGCTCCCGTACAAAGGGTCGTTAGATATAGAGGAATATGTAAAACTGTGAATGTAAAACTGTAAATATAATAAGTATAGGCGAATAAAATGAAGACAGGCAATACTTTATTGCTTTTAAATATATATAAAATATATTTAATAATTTCATAGTGGTCGATATTCTATCTGCAAGGGTATGTAAACTTCGGCGTGCCGAAGTTAGCTTCCTTTCTTGTTCTACATAAAAAGGTTGTACCCCTCCAAAAATGTTTATAGATTGGGAAAGCTGGGCTTAAAATACAAACTGCAGGGACCTTACTTTTTATGTTCGAAGTTGAAACAATTGACATTTTTATGTTTATTAGAACTGTCAAAGCCATGTAAACTAACGATGTATACAAAATGAATTAGTAGAATATTTTGTTTGTGTTCAAAATAGTTCCGGTTGTTTTTTTAAATTAAAGTTTAAAGTCGGTTGTTTACTATAAAATATAATAATAAACTATAATAATTTTAAAGATATAAGAATTTATGTCAAAATAATGTATATCAAATATTAACAAGAAATGATGCTTCGCACACCGAAGTTTATAAACCCTTGCAGATAGAACTTCGATAACTAGGAATTAATACAATATATATGTTATATATTTATGTTAAAAACAATTAAGTAATTCCTGCTTTCATTACATTCACCATTACATATTATATTTACAGTTTTGCATTCACAGTTTTGCAGTTTTTCTCTATATCTAATGATCGTTTGTATGGCATTTTCAGCAAATGGCCCTGTTGGACTTTTCTGCCAAATTCCTGCCGACTTTCTGCTTATCCGCTTGGTGGGTAGGGTATGTAAAGTTCTCATTTGTTTTATTCATACGTGAGCGGTGTAATTCATGATGCCGAAAGCTTCGACTTTCTTACAAGTTGATTTTTTTACATTTCTTATAATTAAATTTACATTTACTTACATTTAGTAAATCATTTAAGCATACTCACAAACTATTTTAGAATATTATACGACCAAGTGGGAATTGAACGTCTTAATGTTTAACAGTCCGGCCGCTTACACATATCGCCACGCAGGCAACTAAAATTGTGTCGCGTGAGAGGGACAAAAACTTGCAACCCTTTTGGGACATTTATTTTTATGCTCGCTTGATATTTGTCTTTGTCGTCGCGAAGCGATCGAGGTGCGTGGCTCTGGGGTTAGAACATCCGTCTTCCATATAGAGCCCTATCTAATCCCGCGCGGGGCAACCCCTTTTCTTAATATATTTTTGATTTTTTTAATTCAATGAATTTTCTTTAAAAAATTTTTGTTTCAGTAAAAGATCGACGAACAAAATTAAAATAAATCAATAACTGTGGTTAAATAAGAAAACAAAATTATACTCCATATAAAGTACACAAACTCTTGAAAATACAATACTAAGTTCATATTAATAGGATTCTATTCCCTAGATATTTTCCAATTTTCATTTAGAGGAATTCTACGTAGTTTAAAAAGCAAACGTAAAATAATTGCTAAGTTTTTCGTTTTTTTATTGGCGCACTTCGTGTTAAATAAAATATCCCGATTCACGTACATGAATGCCGCGCTTCCACTTTGCTGAAGTGAACATAAGGCTCGACATAGTTTTCTATCCAGATAGTTCACCGCATGAAGCAAAGTCCGACTGGGTGTACACAAAATTGTATAATAATATAAAATGGCTATATCTCAAATTGTAAATTCTGTTAAGAACTGAAAATAATAATTTTTTTTATAAAAATTTTCCGATCGTTCCTTTGGCAGCTTCATTCAAATAGACTCAAAACTGAGATACTAGTTTGCGTGGAAACGGACAGAACGACATGACTAGATCGACTCGGCTGTTGATGCTGATCAGGAATATATATAGATTATATGGTCGGAAATGACTCCTTCCTGAAATTTGAATACCCTGCAGGAAACTCCACAAAAATTCAGTATGTATCGAAATGTATTGACTTTCAATGATCCAAGCTTTCTTTGTTGTTAGCCTTTGACGAGGTGAGTTAAAAGTGACGCTAGCAGCTTATAAGTTAATATCTCTTGATATCAAATTTAGTAACGATTAATATTAACGCTAACACAAATAAATAAGAAATAATTTGCGCTCTCGTTTTGTGTTAAAGTTTGCAGTTAACCACTGAGGTTAACTTAAATTTTCTATTTTGTGCCAAAATCTTCCTTTTTGCATTCCTTTTTGTGCCTTCTTCGTTTTGCTTTTGTTTGCGCCGTCGCAACAGGTTAGTTATTTATCTCCCACGCTTACCCTCTCTCTTGCACTTCTTATCTTATCTGATCTCCCACGCTCTCTCGCTCTTTCGCTGTGACCTTTCACTTCTTATCTTCATTCCGATCTGTTGCTTTTTTCCTCTATTTTTTTCAAGTACAAGTACGGTTCTAAGTCTTAATAATGTCTGGATCGATCGAACAAGTTGTAACGATGCGCTGTGTAACGTTTTGATCGGCTTGAGCGTTGTTGATTGAACCGGACCGATCATACTTAATGCAGTTCTCTGGTCTGAATCAGACCAGTCAGTCTGAATTTCCATACAGTAGGCGTTAGCAAACCTGAATTCGAACTACCCGAATTATTTACAGGGAATCATAAAGGAATCCTGCTAGGAATTTGTCGCGAATTTCAGCACGAATTACCCCTGAATCAAAAGGGAATTTCGGAAGGGATTCTGAACAGAATCATACAGGAATTTGATACGGAATCAGGCATAATCGTAGGGGAATTTAGAGTAGAATCAGATAGGAATTCAGAGGAAAACGTGTAGAAGCTCCCCGTAACCCCCATAGTAAATATCTGACGCAATTTGTAATACATTTTGTATTTATTTATTCATTTAAAAAACTTTATAATTTGTTCAATGATTACCACAATTTTTCTTAGCATAACTTCTTGCATTTTCCCTAAACGTATGTTACGGGTCTTTCCTTCCGGCTGTTGCCTCGTCAATCTAATAGTAAAATACATATGTATATTCATATGTATGTTAGAATCAAATGGACAATATTTTCCATAAATATACACACCAATTAAGAAGAAAACAAATACTGGATATATAATGGCCTTCCGTTCACACCGTCCAGGTTCAAAAGCAATTCTGGAAATGAATTTATTAACTGAATACAAATAAGTCACTTACCCTTTAAAAATATTTAATAAATTACATTGCAAAACACTTGTGAATACTTCAGCTGTTATTAGAGCTGTGAAAAAATCGATTTCAACAACGAGATTATCGATTCTTTTTTTCGTTAAATAATATTTTTCATCATCTCAATCTAATTTCGGAACCGCTGCTCCGAAAATGTTATGAAAATAACAATTAATTGTTTAGCAGTATCCGAACACAGGTAGAATTTTCATTGCCTACTTTGTTTCGGAGCTCTCTTACCGAAACCCATGAGATTTGTTTTTGTTTTTAGAACATGACACCAGGAAACAGGAAAGGAATTTTGGGACTGAAGGGAGCCTTACGCTATTAAATGAGTCTCCCAAGCGCAAAAAAACTGCTATTGGTGGGCAGTATGTTGACGGACTCCAATTACCTGCAACGGGCTCTTAGCAGCAGCCTCCCTCGGCACAGTGCTCGACCTCAGCATTAATTCCAAGAGTGCGCAGATCGAGCGCGGCTCGAAAAATGTTTAAATTTTCTTCTCTAGGGATATTTAATGTTTTAAAATAAATGTCCTTAACGAACTCTTTAACACTATTTGCTCTACTAACTTCTGGCCAAGGAGTTCGAAACGAAGAAAAAGAAAAAGCGGCCTGATCATACCACTGCGCCTTTTACGTCTTCCAATCCCGACCAAAACAACTAACCTAATCCCTAGGTCTTTCCTATCAGAATGCAAGAGGCTTACGTAGTAAGCTTTCTAACTTATATTCTGATAGCCTTTCGATTGCATGTCAGGATATTGTGCTCACACAAACCTGGTTAAAGCCGGAGATTCTGAGCTCCGAAGTTTTTCCAGCTGTGCTCACAGTATATCGGCTAGATCGCCCTGTCAAGTGCGAGGGTTGAGTTCTTATAGCGGTGGACTCCTCACTTACGTCAGAATTATTAACCTTCGAGGAATGTAACGATGGTTACATGGTTTCCAGTAAACTTTAAGGTAGAGACCAGTTGGTAGTCCTAGGTGATTTTAATATCCCTGGTGCTATTTGGTGCTCAAATAATTTCTCCAATAGTCGGATTTACAAACAGATCTCAATAATTTTCAAACTTGGTGCCGTGTAAACTTATTAAACTTAAACGGCTCGAAATGTAAGCTAATGACATTCTCTCGTGTCGTTCCTAAGCTTGCTACTTACACGCTAAACTTCTGCTCTTTGGAAATAATTAATTCAGTTGATGTTTTGGGCGTCCGCTTGGACCCAAAACTTGACTTTATTGACATGCATACTGATATTTAGTAAACATGCAAGCAAACCACCTGGCAGCACGCCGGTAGTCAATTTCCTCGTATTCTGTCCTATATTTTTCATCGAGACTACAAACACCTAACCCAAACAGGCACCTGCCACGGGCCACTTGAGTGTACTGACCGTAGTGCATCGACGTCCAAATTAAATAAAAGGCAAGCTTTTAGAAATCTTGAGTTTATGGTTAGATATTTTGTAATTTGGTGCCGCAAACGAATCTTGTTGAATTATTTATTTTTAATGTTAATGTTTATTTTTTTTTAATGTTAATTGTCACAAAATTAATCATTTAACATTTTTTTATTTTTTTAAACCTAATATCAACTACGAGATATGGTTTTAAGTTTATCCAGCTTTAGATTCAATCTTTTATTTCTATAAATACATTTTTCTAAGTGCTTGTAATAAGATACAACATGCTTATCTCCATATGCATGTATGTACGTATGTATGTATACGTGCACTATGTAATAATTTATTACAGAAGAATTTTTAAAGTGGTTTACATGTCAATTATCCTATTGGCTAATTTATTTGCCATGGAATCAAAAATTGGCATTGGTCTAATGCTTAGCCTCAATTTAGGCTTCACTTTTATATTGAAGCTAGTCGTTTTAATATCAACTGCGGCATCGTAAAACAAAAATGATTATAATCGACCAGGGTTGGTCTCTTGTTATAAATGCTATAAGTAAATATATAAAAATTAATAATAGTAAAAACAAAATTTAATAATAAATAGATAAATAATTTTTTTTTAATCATATTTTTATTTAGTAGGAAACTATCTAAATGATAGTACAGTGTGCATCTTTTTGAATGAGAGATTTGTGATCCAGCTGCAACAATTTGAACATTATTCTAGTTTAGTATTTATTAATGTAAAATTATTAAATGAAACGTTTAAGAAAGATCAGTTAGAAAAGGAAAATGGTAACCAGCTTCTACAGAAAATTACAATATCCATTGAGGTTACACACTGACAGGTAAAATTATAAAATATGTTTTTGGGATTACTTTTTGGCCATCGATTGAAATTAATGTCATTGGTTAGTCTTTTATTGTATTTGGTCCAGATGTCATTCGTTTTGTGGATACCTTTACAAAGGCTTCAATGCATTCAAGATGGCGTTCCTTACATAACAAATTCGTTTTCGCATACATTGCAACGGAGTTCAAGGAAGAGCTGTTGAAAAGATCATTTTTCGAAGGTACCTTTTATAAATGTTTTTCTGCCTCGCCTCTATTAAATTAATTTCAGATCAAGCAAACCTTCTTTTTGTTGTACGAGACTATGCAACCGGCAATATTTTCGACATGAAGACCAACAAATATGTGGGGCCTAGAGCAGAAAACCCAGCCCAGCTTAGACTTCTTGATAGGTACCATGTCTCCGAAAACCGATTTCAGGAGGGCAAATCTCTTTTCCCTTACAAATTTAGAGATTTGAAGGGTCGCGAAGTCACTATAGCTGGGTTCAACTACCCTCCATACACTGTTATTAAACAAGTAAGATTCACTTTATATAATATACTAGCTGTACCCTGCCACGTTTCTCTGCGGCATATTGTGGTTGCACGCATAAGAAATAACTCAAACAAAAAAGAATAATTTTCATATACATTTAATTCTGTAATACTTGTGGGTATGCAATATTCTTCGTTTCTCCATTCTCCGCGTAAAATATAAAGACTATCTGGTTTTCCGACACGGGAACACGCAACATATAATTGTCCGTGTGAAAAACAATCTGTATCCAAATCAAGACCACACAACTCCAGAGATTGACTTTGAGCTTTATTAATAGTCATTGCGAACGCTAAACGAATGGGAAACTGCAATCTCTTGAACTGAAACGGTGTTTCAGTCGAGATCAGAGTAATTCTAGGAATGAGGACATCTTCACCTTTGAAAGGACCTGTTATGATCGTTGCTTCTACTACGTTATTCATCAATTTCTTGACTGCGAGTCGCGTACCGTTGCAAAGTTTCGGCTGATTTATATTTCGGAGCATGATAACACACACCTATTTTTAATTTCAATATGTGTGGTGGCATTCCAGGCAGATCAAGTGAGTTTAGAAATTCCGTAGGGTTATTAACTGCTTCCTCTGCCTCCACAACGGGGTCTATCGACTTATATGTAATTTCGTCAGTTTCTATGCTGGACTGGATAACATGATTGAGCTGGTATACATCTTTGTTCTTGGCAGCGAGAATCGCTCGTCCACTGAGCCAATCGTGATTCCTATAATTTATTCGGATATCGGGGAACACTTTTTGGATAAGTCCTTCCTTTGATGTAACTAAATTACAGAAATTCTCGGGCAATACTATTTTGCTCGACGTCTCATTGACTGGCAGCTTTCCGTTCTCCGTGTTCAGTAGCTGTCGTGAGAATACGTCGGCTGAGTCATCGTTCTGTAACTGGACACGCATATTCGTCTTCAACTGTAATGTACGTACATGTTGCCACAATATAGAATATTTTAGGCAAGCATTTATCTCGTCAGCTGGTGTCGATCGGGAAATCACAGGCACCGTTTGCCTGAAATCCCCTGCGAGCAATATTAACGCATTCCCAATTGTTTGGACAGCTCCATGCAAATCCCGCAATGATCGGTCGAGAGCCTCCAGCGATTTTTTGTGTGCTATTGTGCACTCATCCCAAACAATGAGTTTACATCTTTGCAATACTTTTCCCATGCCAGATGCTCTGGAAATGTTGCACGTAGCAGTCTCGATGATTTGCATGTTCAACTGCAACTTCAGCGCTGAATGAGCAGTCCTTCCACCAGGTAACAATGTCGCAGCGATTCCAGATGAAGCAAGAGCTAAAGCTATGTCCTTGTTAGCTCGAACCGAAACCAGAATCAATGTAATGAGGAATATTTTCCCCGTTCCTCCTGGAGCATCCAAGCTTCAGCAACCCTTGCCCTGTCGCGTTCATTATTTTGAGAGTGAATCAAATCGATTGCTGCAGAACGCGACTGCCTAACTCTCAATCGTTTTCTCTCAAGCCTATCTGCTCGTCTTTCTGCTGATTCCGCGTTGTGCATCTGCATTGCTCTCAGCCGCTCAGTCTCTCGGATGGAGGCCCGCTCTTCGTCAGTCATATTCGTAATCTTACGTCTTTTTGCTTCTGTATTGCGCGTACGACGACCCAAACTCGACTTCTTGGGTGGCATGACTTTCTAAAACTGAATAAAAGAATAAAATTTTAATCTCCAATTTCTTCTTTCAATATTTTTGGGATGTTTGACAGGAAATGCTTCGATTCAGCTGGCTGCCTGTAGAGGGCGCAGCAGTAGGCGCACGGGGAAACGCGAAAAAACTGATATATTCGCAAACGCAGATAAGCTATCAACATCAAAAGTAGACAATAACCGAGCTGGAACCTCAACGCATGTTGTGTAAAAATTTGGGCTTAAACGGTTCAGAACTTTTCAAGTCTATGAAGGAAGTAGACACAAACAGAGCATTTTTATATATATAGATTATTAAGTTATTAAATAGATTTTGAAAAGTATTAGAGGACCTTTAAATCACTTGCAATGAAATTTAGTTTATCTATCTACTCTGTGTCGCTTTTTTGGCAATTAAAATAAAAATGAAAACTTACTTCGGCACGCCGAAATATGTATACCATTACAATTGGCAATTCGATCACTAATATTTTATAAAATTTAAATATATAAATATATTTGTGTTAAAAAACATCGAAGTAATGTCTAATTGCATTACAGTCCTCTATACACTGATAAAAAAGAAAATCTTTATTTAAAATTTTGTGCATCTATCATAAAGCCGGTTCCCTGCTTCCGTTCCCAGACAGCGAACACAAATTTCTTTTTCTTGGTGATGATGGAAATGAAGTAG